GGGTGCGCGAGTGCGGAGGGGCGGGGGCCGCTCTGCCCGGGGCGGAGGCCCGTGTCAGGCCGCTGACCTCAGAGCTTTCCCTCCGCAGGTCGTGCACATGGGCTGGGTCAGCGAGAGGCTGGAAGAGGCCGGCCGCCGTCCACCCGTCTCACCCAAGTTCCTGGCCGTGAAGGGTCCCTCGCTCTACGTGTTCCGCACCCCCCCGGTAAGACACCCCGAGAACTCCTAGGCAGGGGTGCGGGGGCCGCTCTGCCCGGGGCAGAGGCCCGTGTCAGGCCGCTGACCTCACAGCTTTCCCTCCGCAGGTCGTGCACATGGGCTGGGTCAGCGAGAGGCTGGAAGAGGCCGGCCGCCGTCCACCCGTCTCACCCAAGTTCCTGGCCGTGAAGGGTCCCTCGCTCTACGTGTTCCGCACCCCCCCGGTAAGACACCCCGAGAACTCCCAGGCAGGGGTGCTAAGCTCGCTGCATGGCGGGGCGGGAAGCCGACCTGGCGTTTGGAAGGGGCTGTGCCATGGCCCGCTGTCCCCACACGGTGACGAGGGACCTGCTTAGGGACCTGGCTATTCTCCCTCTAGACCCATGAGTTGTCTAATCCATTCCCTTCTACCCGTTCAAACAGTCGTTAAGACAGCACAGCGCTGTCCTGCTTAAAAAATGGGCTGATTGGGAGGTGAGAATGCAGAAGGCCCCGTCGTAGCGTGTGATTTACGTGGTTGAAGAACCCACAAACATGCAAAACACGCAAAACACGCAAAACCCAAAACACGCAAAACACGCAAAACACAAAATAAACAAAACACGCAAAACACGCAAAACTCAAACTCACAAAACCCGGAAAACCCAAAACACGCAAAACCCACAAAACCCCAAACACTCAAAACATGCAAAACACAAAATACACAAAACACACAAAACACACAAAACCCAAAACCCTCAAAACACACAAACATGCAAAACACGCAAAACTCAAACCCACAAAACCCGCAAAACCCAAAACATGCAAAACACACAAAACCCCAAATACGCAAAACATGCAAAACACAAAATACACAAAACACGCAAAACCCAAAACACGCAAAACTCAAACCCACAAAACCCGCAAAACCCAAAACATGCAAAACACACAAAACCCACAAAACCCGCAAAACACACAAAACACAAAACACGCAAAACTCAAACCCACAAAACCTGCAAAACCCAAAACACGCAAAACACACAAAACCCCAAACACGCAAAACATGCAAAACACAAAATACACAAAACACACAAAACACACAAAACCCAAAACCCTCAAAACACACAAACATGCAAACTCCCTCGCAGTTTCCAAGTTTCGTTAAAAGAAACAGCCTGACTTAGTCTGGTCCATCATGTAAATTTAGTGCCGAATGCGACAGTCTGCGGTGCTGTTTTCCATTTCCCAGCGACACCGTTCTCCTCAAAGCGGGGGGTGGGGGGGGGTGCCTGCGTCATTTTTAGCGACACGATCACGGAACCGCAGGCAAACAGCAGACCTGGTACTTTCACGTTCCAAGAATTTGGATGCACGTTACAGACAGTGAATTTCGTTGAAGGGATGTCTAGGAGATACTTCTCTTTGTAAAAATGGGGTTGTTGGAGTCGCTGGAGCTTACTGCCATTGACAGTGAATGCCAGGATCTCCTGCCCGGGGGCGGGTGCTCTCCCACCGTGTGCATCTGCCACGTTCCCTTCACGCACCGTCCGTCGCGGGGCGTTCGGGCGCGTCCGTGCCTGGAGGACGTGAACGACGCCGTGACGAACACGGGTGCCGAGGGCTCCATTCCCTTTGCACAGAGGCCCAGAAGCGGGACGCCGAGCACAGGCTGGTTCTGTCCCGAGTCTTTTCGGGGAGCCTGCGCTGCACCATTCCACGCTCCCGGCGACGCTGAGCAGGGCGCCTTCTCCACGTCCTCACTGGCACTTGTCGCCTGTCGCTCTTGGGGGTGCTGGCTCGGTCAGGGCCTGGGTTGGGGTGTCCTGTCATCTTCACACTCCTCAGGCTGCAGACATTACATTTGTACAGCTTTGTGTCGATCACCTCAATAAAGTGATTCAAAAACTATTGAAGGGAAACTGAATTTCACATTCAGACACGCAGACGACGCATATTTTCATCGATAAGGAGATATTTTTCTTTTTAAAAATAAGCTTCGTACTGGGGAACGATTTTAGCTCGCGAGAAAGTCGCCCAGATGGGAGGGAGAGCTCCCGCGCGCCCTCCCGGGGCTCCCCGGGTGGAACCCCTCGCACGCTGTGGTGCGTTAGCTGGACCCGAACGACAAAGGGCAGCAGGGCACTGCGCACGCACCGCGGACGCCAGCGGACATCACTGTCCCCAACGTGGGACACCAAGGCCGCGGACTTGCTGACGCCAGGAGCTCCCTAAGGGTTTGCACGTGTAATCACTGACTCCTCCTCAAGACAGATGTAGTAATGTCCGCTAACGTTTGTCGCAAATGTAACGGTTTATGGTTTCATCTCACAAAGTAGCACTGCGAAGGAACTTGAAACGTAAAAATATGAAAATAACTGTGAAAAACCGTGATGGCCTCGGAGAGCTATGATTGATGAATCGAGTGGCCGTCAATAATCAATACCTGTTAAGCTCCCAGCAGAGGTGCCTCCCACGTCTCTGGTGCAGAAGGAACATCGCCTGCTGCCCTCGGCCCAGCGCCCGGCCCTCTGCAGCCCCCGCGTCCCGGACACCATGCGTGCAGGCCCCGTGCAGTGCTCAGGTCCCGTGTAGCGTGCAGGCCTGTGCAGTGTTCAGACCCCGTGCAGCGCTCAGGTCCCGTGCGGTCGGTGTTCCTTCTTGCCCCGTGTTCCGTTTTCCGTGCGTGAATTTCTCCACATACAGAGTTCTAAGTCATGAGAAACGCTTTCAGCGTGAACCACATTCTGCACCTGTGTGAAAAAAATACGATTCCACCCACTTCCCTTGGAAGTTTCAACTTCATGAGCAGAACTTCTCATTTTGGGGGGGACGGGGAGTCCCCAAATCATAACCATTTTTTCTGCAGTAGCAAGTCCTCATGTCAGTAATGCATATAAACACCTGGCACTGCCCCCCAACACCTGGCACTGCCCCCAACACCTGGCACTGCTGCTCGCACTCATCAGCACCTGCACTGCCGTGAGGCTCGGGGTCCACACTGTCCCACTGGTGACTCAGAGATGGATTCAAATGCAGACACATTGAATCAATTCACCACGTAACCGTTAAATTCTCCAGCTGCCGTGGTCCAGCCACGACAGGATCCAGGGGGCCCCGAAGGTGGGCAAGGCGTCGGCGCGGGAGACAGTCGACTACACAACTCAGAGGCGGTGTGACACTGTTCCATTTTATTGTGATTTGAGTACAACTTTTATACTTTCTATTTTGGCATTTGATTATACTTTGTTGTTAAGGTAGCAGGGAGTTAAATTTCTGTGGTTAGGCGAACAGAAAATCTTATAGAGTATATTATTATTAATGTTCATGATTAACTAGTACATTTTTCTCTCAATCATTAGAACAGAACTACCTGATGGAACAATCTAAACTTTAATTCTTATATCTATTACGTAAGATACAGTTTGATTTAAGTAAAGGTGATAGATGTATTCATAACAGCAAGCATTGGCTTGTGGGCAGACATTGTTCTTCTTTCTGCCTGAAGAAATCTTTTAAATGCTATTTGATTTATGCTATATCTAAAGTTCAAGCTGAACCTTTCTCATAGCTGTTCAAAAGTTTCCTTGGTGCAGTAATGAGGAAAATATTTATAAAAATCAGTTTTACAAAGCTGCTTTCATAAGCTAAGTTTCTGTTCCTTTGTTTTTAAGCACCAAGGAGATCCTGACCTAGCCAGCCTTTCTATGAAACTTAAACTACTATAAGGCACATGAATTCCATCTTTATTCACTATACGTATACTATCTTTATTATAAGCTCCTGTATAAGGCAAAGGAAGATCAGGTAATCTTTTCATACTATTAGCCCCCCTAGGTGGATACCAGAGTTTTCTATTTATCCACTAGGCCACAAAAGGAGGCCCTTCTATAATAGGCACAGGCTTATGAGTAGATTTCTTATCCTTTACTAATTTTTCTACTAACTGCGTGGGAACAGGAGTATAAACTGGTTCTAGTAATTCAGCTTGTTATAATTTATTCATAACATCTTTAAGAGGCGCGTCAAAAGGAATTTCTCTTAATAATTGTTCAAATAAAGGGTTTACGCATTCTGGACACGTCAGGGTGACTGGAGCTGATTCCATACGCAGGGAATTTACTATGTTTTCCTCAGAGCCAATTTTGAGGAAATCCATTTGTACAGCGTTTACACTTACTAGAATTTGTGCTACCCAAATTCCCCTATTAATAAGATCGTTCCTAAGAAACCAGTCATCCCTAAACACATGCCACGTCCTCGTTCTTGGCGATACATTCCTCGAAGCCTCTGTCCCCATCTCCGGACCTTGTCACGCAGTACGGTAGAAAGAGGACGTGGCACCCAGCCAGAGGCTCGCCGCTTTTCACGTATGCATCAAAGGTGTTTCCAGCTCTCAAGGTATAATTTACTAATAAAATTGCAGTTACTTAAAGTGTACGACGCGATGATTTGATGTGTGGAATGATCCCTACCATCAGTTAATTATCACAGCCATCAGCGCACATGGTCACCTTGGTGGCATTTCTTTTGGTGGGAAGGCTTAAGATTTACGCATGCGCTTTCTATCTTGCAGGTGAGCACGTGGGACTGGGTCCGAGCAGAAACAACCTATGACCTCTGTGAGGTGCTGTTTAAAGTTGACAAGGTAAGCACCCTTTGCACATCGACGCTTTCGTGTAAATAAGAGGTCCCTTTGGGTTTAAAGTGTGAGAAATATCGTTTACCACTGTCCCTTGAAATGTCAAATGGCACGAAAATCTAGGTCCGTTTCATCATCGTATCCTACAGGTTGTCATCAAGGCAGGTGGATGGGTGGTGGACGGATGGACGGACAGGTGAACGGTGTGCGTGTGTGCGCGTGCATGTGATGGGGACAGAGTGCTTTAGTCACTTCCGATGACGGTAAGATATCCCGGGAACTTCAGTCCACGGCTGTGGTGTTAATTCGGATGCAAATCTGTGTCCGAAAGCTTTCCTCACTGGACCCGGCCCGAGTTGGCCGGCCTGGCTCCCGGCTGCCCCGGCTGGAGGAGGAACGTTCCTTGGTAAAGGGACCAGGGCTCATCCGCCTCAGGCTTCGGGTGGCCCGCTTCGGTGGACCTTTCTGGAGCGCGTAGCGCAGTGCCACCGAGTCAGTCCTCCGTGTGCTCCTGTGGTGACCCCCTGCCGCGTGGTGGGCGCCCCGTGTCGGCGTTAGAGGCACGGGAACGGGGTGCCGATGTGCAGACCCCGCCGAGCTGAGCAAGCCCGGCAGCCATGGCCCTCGGCAGAGCCGGGTCCGCACGGCGGCTGAAGTGTCGGGCCCAAAACGACAGCTCTGGGGAGGAAGCGGCCACTCATTGTCACTAAGTGAGCTCGTCAACCGAGAGGCCGTGGCTGACCAGCCCCCCCGAGGAGCCTGGCTCCCATCCTGGGGATGGAGGCCGGCCGGGTCCTCGGGCCCGTGGGCATCCCCACGGTGGCTGGGGCCAGGCTTGCCGTGAGGCTTGGTCTCTGCCGTTGCTGCTCTGAGGGAACCGAGGCTCATAACCGCTACCCACAGAGGGTGACAGACTCACGGGCCACGCAACATCCCTGAGCCCTGGCCCAGCTGACCCACGAGTGCATGCGTGGGAGACGCCGCTGACAGCCGGCCCCTGCGGCTGGGGGCAGCAGCAGTTGCCCGCACTGGCTGATCACACACTGTGACAAACGTGCTCCCAAGTGATTATGAAATCACGAGCCAGCCGGGGCCGCGGCCGCCTGCTGCACACAGGCAGAAGATGACAGCGTGCTGAGCGGCCAGCGTTTCTGAGAAGCGTGGTGACCTCTCTGCGTTCAGTGTCCCGCCTGGGAGTCTTCACCTGGCGAACTGACAAGTTTTCATCTCCTTTTTGATATCGACAGTCGATTATCGACGTCGATCATTTTGCACATGTGAATTTAAGGTTATGGATAAGCATTTAATTCATTTTCCAAAAATCGAAAAAAATATATGATTGCCCTGAGAACTGGCACCTTTAGTGTAGATTTTTTTAAATGATTCTTTTCATAATTGTCATTTCAAAGTGTAGCCATTAATATTTAGTCCAGAAATAAAATTTTGTGGTTGTGGTTTTGTTTTTCTATGACAAGTTCTCCTCTCTAAAAATTACTATTTCCAATTCTAAAATTATGTGTTTTGTACTTCGACGGTCACCACAAAACAGATGAGAAATCGCATCTGTCGTGCCTGCTGCGGCGAGCCCGGGCTGGGCAGCCCACGGGGAAGGAAGACACGCGCTTCCTGTCACCCCTGAGGTCCCCTCTAGCATGTTTGCTAAGACCGCGCGCGCGCCTGGCAGAGGCCTCTGGTGCTGGCGCTGTCTTCGCCGGCGCCCACGGCAGGTGACCCCGCACGCCGGCCCCGCCCGAGGAGCCGCGCACCGGACCCTGAAGGCCGATGCTGTCTTCGCCGGCGCCCACGGCAGGTGACCCTGCACGCCGGCCCCACCCGAGGAGCCGCGCACCAGACCCTGAAGGCCGCGTGCCCTCCGTGCAGCGTGGCACCAGGTGGACCCGGCTCCGAGCCCGTCGAATCCTGTTCTCACTGTCAGAGACGCCGCCCTCGGGCATGTCTCTGGGGCGCCCGTGAGGCGCTTCCCGCGCGTGCTCCGGCGCGTTCTCTGGCGCGTGCTCCTGCCCCCTTTAAGGCGCGCTGCTGAACAGTCCCTCACTCACCATCTCTGCAGCAGGCCGGTGGCCGTCGAGTCTGCAGCCGCTCCGTGTGTGTCACGCAGACGCACGGTGATCTGCGTGCTCGGCACAGGGCCCGGGGGCATCTGGGGGAACAGCCGCAGACGATGCTGGCTGCGCTCCCCGCGCCTGTGGCACGCAGCTGGGGGAGGCCAGTTCTTGCTCTGGGAAAAACAGCATCTATGAAACCGGCCGAGTCTCTGCAGAGTCGCTGGGGTTGTTGGAAAAGCACCCTTTACGCCTCCTCTTCATTCCGAGCTCACAGCTCAGCTCACTGGTCTGCCATCCGGGGAGAGTCGTGACCGCTGCATGGCTCGGAGCTGACGCTCCTCACCAGCCCCAGGAACCCAATAGCAAACGTTCAGTGAACATCTGAAGAGCTATCGAAAGACCGTTGGGAAATAGTTAGAAATCTAATACGATCATATATTTAAGTGGTCTGTTAAAACTGTATTACAGATTTGTTAAACTGTGTGTGCACATGGACGTTGCATGGCAAGAAATATGAAAAACGAAATCGGATGATGAAAACAGTCACAATAGAATTATTTCTCTTTTATGTTTCCTGTATTGTTGCTGTAATTGTTTCTAAATAAATAAACAGACGCAAGGGAAAAACCCAGGGGATTTTTAAAAGCCGATCCTCGTATGTTTCTCAGAAAGCGCAGCTGGGTGGTCTCTGCTCTGGGCGGGGCAGCTGGAATGTTCTGTCCACGCAGTGTGATCACTGGCTCTGCCGGGCCGCGGACTGGCCGGACGCGAAGCTCACGCTCACTCAGCATGATGACCCAGCGAGCCTCATGGACCCGAGTCGTCATTAAGCAGACTGTGCGCCAGCCTGGGCGGAGGACAGTGAGCCACCGCTGCATCTGCGCCGTCGAAGCTCACGGCAGTCCCTTCTTTGTGGCCCCAGTTCAAGTTCAAAACTCGAGGCTCAGAGAGAAGTAAGTGGCTCAGGGCCAACAGCCAGTAACCGCCGTCTGTCTCAGGCCCGTTCCCTTCCTGTTGTGTTCACGGCCCCCTGGTGATGGCTGGTGACGAGACGGAAAATAGCCACTCAGCTGATATACACACTTGCCAACAGCCCTCCGGCGGGTGTCGGCCTTGACAGCTACGTTCAGTGGGTATAGACATCGTGTCTGAGAAGCCGGGGCAGTGACCAAGCCCTGCTGTTCTGGTTTGTGATGCGTGGTCCTGATTGCTAGGCAGTTTCTGTGTGTCCCAACCTGAGGCGAAGGCTCTGGGCTCCGAAATCTAGGTGCCGTCTGTCCCCTGGGTTCAGCGGGGACCAGGGACACAGGCGCTGCAAGCACATCTCTCTCTCACGCACACACGCACGCGCACACACCAACCACAAGGCGGCAGGTGTCTCAGCGCCGCACAGGGCGCACGGGCGGCTCGCTGCGTGCTGACTGACACGACCCCGCGGGGAGTGGCGTCCCGCAGCGCTGTCCCCAGGGCCCTCCTCCCGCCACGCCGGTGCCCAGAACGCGTAAGCAGCATGTTTCCAGTGAACCCACGTGCCCAGCGAAGTCCAGGCCGGGCAGGGGACCGGCTTTGGAGGCGGGTGTGAGCGGCCTCCAGCCCGCTGTGGCTGCGTGCTGGGCTCTGGTCACCCGCACGTCTTACCAAGCCATGCAACAGCGTGTCACCCTCTGTCACGCTCGCTCAAGCAGAGTCCACATCCCAGGCCAGCGCCTGCAGGGCCTGGCATGGGCTCGGCGTGTGCCTGTTGGGTGAGTGGACAGTCGGTGCTCGGGAGACTGACCTCAACCCGGGGGGAAGGGGGCGGCGAGCATGAAGCCCTTTTATCCAGGACAGCAGCCCTGGGACGTGACGAGCCTGGTAGCTCCTGGATCCCAGGCTGAGGGGACGTGCTCAGCTGTGGTGCCCGCCTTGTTTTCAACACTTGCCGGCTTTAGGTTAAATTTAAGCAGGAAAGTCTGATGACTCTTATCTTTGAGTTAAACATGGGAAAGGAAGTTGTCACCACCTGTGCCTTAGGCAAGAGGTCCTCACAGGTGATTAAGAGCGGGGAGCCACTTCCTTGCAGGTGTTTACAGCGGTTCCCTCCCCGGGGCCGGGTCTGGGAGGACCCCCGTGTCCAACGCGCTTTCTGTCCTGCTCCATTTTGCAGCTCCAGCTCGCTGGTGACTGCTGGTCGCAGGTGGACCTGGGCCTGGGTGTCCAGGACCTCGATGCCGAGGACGTGGGGCCTCACCGCTTCAGCATCACGGTCGGCCACGGCAGAAGCCGCTCCTTCGCCGTGGAGCTGGGTGGCGAGCTGGCCGAGTGGGAGGCAGCTTTCCAGAGAGCCACCTTCGCCGAAGTCCGGAGATCGGGGGTGAGTGGCCACAGCGTGCTGGGGACAGGCGCCGGGGGCCCGGGATGCAGGGGTTACAGTGCAGGTGACGATGCGCTTCCCAAGGGGGCTCTTTCAAAGCCGGGGTCCCGTCTGAGTCACCACGTCGCGGTGACCGCTCGGCTCTGTGCGCTGAGCAAGGACCAGGCGGTGTCCCGGGGAGGGTGGCCGTGTCCCTGTGCCGTTCGCGTGCAATGTGGGGAGGGGTACAGTGATTCTCAGGCGGGCCCCAGTGAGCGCCACGCGCCTGCTGGGTGACGGGAGTCCGCTGCGCAGTCACCTGGCCGTGCGGGACGGTCACTCGGGCTCCGCGGCCCAGGGCAGAGCAGCGGCTCCCCGCTCACGGGCCCAGCATGGGAGCTTCTGGATTCTCGTCTTCGGGTTGTCCAGACGCTCAGAGTGTCCTCATGCGCCGTGTTCTCGCAGAGCCGGGCGTCCCTCCACCTGCTTTCTGCCCCCTGAAATCCGCCGGTCCCTGTGGTGACGTCACACGCAGACGGCCAAACACCCCAACGTCGGGTGTTCGCAAGCCACCCGGAGCGGGGTGTCACCGTCTGGGGTCCGGTGGTTCCTGACGCTGTCGACCAGCTCACGTCAGAGGCAGCTTCCTGCACGTGTGGCCACGGGGGCCGAGGGGCCGTGCGTGCCGCCTCCAGTCCCTGGGACCTACTCAGGGGTCTCATGACCTTCAGCCGCTTAGGAACCAGCGACAGGCGAAGGTCGGGGAGGCAGCGCTGTGCCGGGCGGGCGTGGAGGAAGGGCCTCCGCCCCCAGGCCTGGGGCGCCGGGTCCCTCGCGGGTGACGGCGCAGGCGTGCGTGTGCATTCAGAGCTGGCAGCGTGTGGGGGGTGGTCCGGGGACAGCGTCACCATCACGTGTTGTCCCTGCACTGGGTGGAGCGGGGACGTGAAGGCTCCTGTTTAGGGAGCGGCCTTCTCGCCAGCCCCAGACTCGGTGTTCGCAGGGAAGCTGGGGTGTCGGGGCCCCTCACGCAGCACCAGGGCTCCCAGGGCCGAGGCCCCGCACTCCGCCAGGCCCCGTGGGCCGCCGCCCCACGTCGCCCTGGGCCGCGGAGCCCCTGCCTGGCCCTGGGCTTCCTAGTGGCAGGTTGGGGGGTGCCTTGGGTGAATCGGGTGGGCCTGAGTCCCGCTGGCCCGTCCCCCTCCATGAACTTGGACGGTGCTTCTCCGGAACAGCGTCGCATATTCTGTGGCGTGAGTGGGGAGGGGCACGTCACGGGCCATCACGAGCTTCAGGACCGTCACCGCCGCTCTGCCAGCCTTGTGCACGTCACACAGGTCATCTACCTTTTCAGCGGGTCTGAGATGCAGGCATTTCCTTCATCCTCCGGTTTCCCTAACGAAGAAAGCAGAGTCCAGGGCTTGGTGGCCTTCCCGTGGCCCCCAGAGGTTCTCCGTGGGGCGACCCTGCTCTGAGCTTCTTGCAGACCTGCTCCTTCTACTCAAAGGTGCCGCGTCTGTGACACAGACGGGGAAGCAGAGCCCAGGCCGTGCGGGGGCGTTTGGCGGGCCTCAGGCGGTAAGCGCTCCCCACCCAGGAGCACGCTGCGCCCTCCCTCCTCCTCCCGTCCCCCTCGTTTCGGTCACTTTTTCTCCTGTTCTTCAGGGCGATCGTATCCCAGCCCACAACGTCCAGTCGTAAGCCCGTGGACGTGCTGGTTCCCGTTACTGCGCATGGCCGGCCGTGGGCAGCTGGCCGTCCCGCACTCGCGGGCTGCTCGTCACGCGTCTGGTTTCTGAGGGGCCCCCCGGTGTCCCGTGGCTCTGACTTAAACCCGTGACAGCGATGGCTCGCACCGGGCACATGTCGCCCCTCAGGCAGCACGGTGCGGTTGCATCTGAGGACAGAGTGTCGGAAGCGCTGGCTTCGGTCCCAGACCCGAAGCCCCGAGGCCGGCGGACCCTCAGTAAAGTCGGTGGCAGAGTCTGGCCTCTGATCACGAGGCGGATGTCGGCAGCGGGGCTGGCTGTGTGCTCAGCTGCAGCCCTGCCCGTCAGCGGCGTGGCACGCGGCTGTGGCACCGTCCATGTCCCAATTCAGGCCGTTATGGCTCAACCATTTCTAACATCATTTCTGTAGGAAAACGTTTTCCAAAGTGTTAACATCTGACTGGCACGTGTACTTCTGGCCTGGTCATGGCTGCCTGTTCTAGGATTATCAAAAATACAATAAATGTTAATATAATAAGATACATCGGAAATGGCATGCTCTCCTGATTTATTGGATTCGATTTGACCTCAATAAACGTTGACCGTTCCAGACACCAGAAATGAGCATGTAAGTCTCTCTTTCGGTGACGTGAATACATTCCTATAATAGCAGTTCAGAGGTCCCCCTGAGGCACGCGTGCATGCCCTTCGTTGCTGGGATAACGGTGCCATCGCCATGCGTGTCATTGCTCGGTCTCAGATGACGGTAGCGTCTGCCTGTGAACTCACCTTGCATTGTTCATTAACTCACCAAACTCCTTCACGCGGAAACTGTCGATTCAAGAAAATGCTGCCACATGCTTTGGAACTCAAAACGATGCCAGTGTATGGAGAACGCGAGGCTTCAGGCCGGGCGCGCCGGCGTCTGGCCCGAGCGCTTTTTAATCGTGATCCTCCAGAGGTTCGCCAGACGAGACGTCTGTCCACAAAGCTCCTCAGGCACGACTCATTCCCCGCTTCCCTTCACAGCACGTCGCTCCGTGGAGGATCTGTTCATCCCGTCTTCAGGCCTCATGTCCCTGTGTGGCTTGCGCATCACCGAGACGGCCGCCAGAGTCAGGGACCAACGGCGCATCCCCTGCCGCTACCAATGTGCTTGTTTCTTAAAGTGAATCGAGCTCCCGCTGCTCCTTCAGGTGCCCTTTACCTCAAGGAACGCGTACGTCTACTTTCCAAAAAGGCGTGAGATATAGTCAAGGGGCACAAATCACAGATATGAAGCTGGAGTGGCCCCAGGAAGCCAGTTGCTAAGCTACGAGAGTCCCCAGGGCCACCACACAGAAGGAAGCGGGTCCCCTGGTTTGCAAAGGTGCTGCCGAGCTGCCAGCTCCTTCCGGGAGGGGGCAGGTGCTGCCCCCTAGCGTATTCCAGCACCTTCCTCCAGCGGGCCCTGGGCTCCCGCCGGCCTGAGCATGCCCACACCCTCAGGCCCGGGCGGCTGCGTCCGCTCCAGGCCTGGGCTGGGGCAACATGAAGAGCCTCTGTCCTTGGCTCCATCGTGTCCTTGGCCAGCCCCAGATCATGTACTAGCCGGTCGGTGGCTGGACCATGTGGCCTTGTGTCCCTGCAGCCCGGGAGAGTGGCCGTGGACAGAGCTGCACCTTGCGTCCAGCCCTCCTGGCCTGAGGAGCTGTCTGCAGACACGGCCAACTGTCCCCAGCACACTGTCCACCCCGATGGCTGGTACCTATGCACTCATGCTCCATCTGCCGGGCCCCGCTGCAGCCTGACGCAGCTGTCGTCCGTGTCTGTCACGGTCCCCTGTCCACGCCTACTCGTGTGCGTTTCCTGGGGGCACTGTAAACCGCCAGGTGGCAGGTTTCCCACAAGTGTCCGTGACCACCTGGGACTCGACGGTGACCTCGCTGGCGTGTCTTTAGCTGCTGGAACACAGAAGGCGAGCTGCCGGTGGGGAACGTGCTAGAACACGGAGCCATGCTCTCGCCGGAATTCCGCGTTAAAACGAGACCCGTCGGCCTCCACGCCGAGTACCTGAAGGTCTCGGA